TCTTTGTCAAAATACTTTGCTGCACCTTCTCCAGAATATACCACCATTCGTGGTAGAGAAGGTCCACTTAAGCGGATAGTGTGTTTTGAGATAATAAGCAACCCAACCATAGACATAGTGAATGGGAAAACAAACTCTAACATGGTCCAACTGTGAAGAATTTGAAATTTTATTTAACCCATGATATATACTTGTTAAAACTGGAATCGCAAGGCTAACCCTTTTACCGCTCACCATTAAGCTCGCTATCTTGAAAGTCTCAGGTCGAATGAAATTTCCTTCTTCAGACGGAAGTACAAAGGCACATAACCAACATGACAAAAAGACCATCAGATAAGTCTCAAATTTTTTATGTTTCGCTCAAGCTTAGAAAATACCATCTCTTGAATACTTGACCATGTATTTATCTCAGTAGGTATTTCGCCTGTAGGATTATGAGTAGACGACAAATGTCGAGATTTTTTCTCTTTTCTTGGGGGAGCTAGCTCATATTTGAGATCTTTCTTGCACCAAAATTGTATTCATTCATTAAAAGAGACTCCCATATTACCATGATTTTCCTCTTTAAGGTGATGAAAGGCAACAAACATATATTCACAAGTTCGAGGAAGAAATATTTCCCTCTTATCATTAAATCCTGTAAGTTCAATGGAGTTTGGTATCACTTCTTCGTAAGGGTATCCGTTAATTGGCAAACCACCAAGAATATGCAAGTCCTACTGGGCGTGCCAGAATTTGTAGACAATAAAATTCGCGTCGAGGAAACAATAATCAAGGACGGAAATTTATAGAAACAATCAATTGTATTATTTCAAATGCGAGTGTAACAATCTCTATAATCCTTTTGAAATCGTCTTTTCAAATATAAATTCAAGGGTTTAAAAGCTTGTTCTTGAATATATGATGAACTTGAACTTGAACTTTATTTTGATCTTGACTTTTATTTGAATTTAAGGGCTTCGAGCTTGTTCTTGAATTCGGTGTTCTGATTCTTGATCGTTCTTAAACTTGAATGCTCTTAAACTTGTAGCTTTGTAGAGAATTAAATGACGTTTGTAACACGGAGTTTCTCTAGCTTCTTGTTTAGAATTTTCCATCCCTTTTCTGAATTATGAGGACCCCTATTTATAGTTTTAGAATAGAGGAGTTGCGATTGAATAGGATTCCGTTCAGCCAATCAGATTTTAGTAACATGACATTTGGGTTTTATGGAGCGGGCTTGTCATCTTTGACACATGTCATGATTCTATTGGTTTTCTTATTTGACTTGACATACCACATCATCTGCACACGTGGCGCCAAGATGGGCTCTAGAATAAGATCGGATTGGGTTTAACAAATTGGGTTCATCCAATGTAGCCCAAATCAATTATTTTAGACTTTAATTAAATCCATATTTATTGGACTTAAATATTTAACTCAATTATATCAATCCACAATATTTATTTGAATTAAAATATTTATGAAATCAATATAATCCGAATTATTTTATAAATTTATGTTTAATAAATTTTAAATGAATATACTTATATCATTCGGTCAAAACAACTTGTGTGGTTTTTGATGAAGCTCCAAAAGTGAATTATGAAGAAATAACCCTAGTTGAGGACCTAATACAACATAAACTTGAAGAAGAAGAACAAGAAAATAAGGTAAAATCAAAATAAAAGGTAAACACAATTCACATACAAAAGAGATATCTTCAAAAGAAGAAAATAAGTCTATAACAAACTGAAATATATCAAACCCCATAAGAGTTGCAAGAAGGAGCCTAAGGAACCTTGCAACTTCAACTAAGACGCTTGAAATACCCAAACAATTAATATATTGATGTAGCATTAGTTGAGGTGTCAAGATGAAAGATATTACTGTTATTCTTACAATAACTTATATTTATGAAGTTAATGAACAGAAACAGAAACAAAAATAAGATGAAGCAGAAAATAATATAGAATACAAGAATTAATCCGAGTCCATAGAAACTACTGTGTGTCCTTAAGAAATTTAATCCCCTCACTGTATCCAAGGTTATGGATTAATTTCTCCCAAGATAAAACGGATTAAACCTGTTAAAGAAATAGCGGTACCTCAAACTTCTTTAACTTCAACGAACTTAAGAACAGCAACAAGTCACACAGACTCAGTCGATCGACACTTTGATTTTATTTGAGAGAAAAATAAATGCAGAGAAAGAAAAAAATTTCAGTGATTAAAAAATCAAAAATTGACTTCCTTTTATAGCCATTTTCAGCAAGGAACATGTCTGTTCAGTGAAATCTGTTCAGACCCATTTTATCCAGAAAGTTGTGTCTTTTGGAAAAAATAACAACTTTTCAAAAAATTGTGTCTGTTAGGAAAATAACTACTTTTTGGAAAGTAACGACTTTTCGAAAAGTAACGACTTTTCGGAAAGAGTAACAACTTTTCGGAATGTTACCGTTACCTGCAAATTTATAAGAAATGACTTTTCATTTGCACTTTGCAAATGACTTTTCATTTTCTCTCCAAAGTAGTTCCCTCACTTTTGATATTTTCTCTTTTCTTTTCCCATTCACACTTGCTAAAACCCAACAATTACCATCTTTGAAAAAACTTCAAAAGATAGGAATGAGACTTATACAATAGAGGTTAAGATCCTCAAAGAGCATTGACATTGTGGTGTATCAAATTAAATCGATGTCGGGTGAGTGTTAAAAATTCATCACCAACTTGATTAACATTCAAGATATTTTAAAAAAGAACCGAATTCATTCAAGAGTAATATATAATTAAATGAAGAACTCTAGAACAAGCGTTCTAGATAGAGAGAGATTCAAAAATATTCTAACTGTGATAATTCTAGAATTAAATAATTGGAGGTTATAGTAAAATAGTAATATCCTAATTAGACCTTTCAATCATCGCCTATAAGAGATGACCGTTTGAGTTGTAAATAAGCAACACGTGACTAAGAAATAAAAGAAAAATGTTCAGTTGTGAGAACAAAAAACTTATAAGAACAACCGAATCTTTGCTTTACAATAATAAAATTCAATGTATCAATTAACAATAATAAAAAATGTAGTTGTTATTGATAGAGAATTTTCGTAATATATAATTGTGTAATTTACATTATTTAAACTAACATTTACTTGACAAATATAATGAAATCATCAAACTGTTTTTAATTAAAAGTGAAAAAAATTTCAAATTTCAAAACCAACCATATTGATATTTGACTAACTAACGTCACTCCTTTAAACCCTCCACAAAAATCTAAAAGGAAAAACATTTAACTAAAAACCATAATAAAATAAATACAAGACAATAATAATCGTTATTTTGACAATATTTTAAAAGCGTTGGGGAAAACATATAAAAAATGACGTTTAAAACTGAAGCTATACATTGAAATAAAAATTTCTTTTCTTTTCTTTTTTGTAAAGAAGAACCTCAATATAAGTTTTCAATATTTTGCTAATGTTTCAAATATGGAAGTTTTGGTAAATAATAAATATTAAATCATTATTTTCAATATTGAACTTCAATATTTATAAATAATGAAATATTTATTATTTATGATTTGACTGAAATCAAGAATATGTCTTTTCCATTATAAGTATGTTTCAACTTTTATTCTTTGTATATTGGTTCAATTTTATTTATAAAATTATCATTATATTTTAATAAATAAAATTATTTGACATTTACACTAAATAGTACACGAAAATTAATATAAATACCATCGTTATGAAAAAAATGTTAGCATTAAATAAATTAAATGCAATAACTAACGTAACTTGGGTTGCATCAAATATTAAACAAAACAGAATAAATTAATTTAAGAAATTCAACGTTTAGTCAAATGAGCACAACTCTATCTTAAGCTATTCTAGTGGAGAGTTCCAATACTTTGAATAGTCATGAAGATTGTGCTCCCTATCTTCCTCAACCAATATTTTAAAATAATACATATAAAAAAAAAGCTACTAGCAACAATATTTTCTCCCATCTATATTAAAATATAAGTTATTGAGATTTTAGAAAAAATTATATGGTTAAATAAATATATATTAGGTAGTTAGTTATTATAATTATTGTTTTAGTTAATTAATTATCGCTTGCGATTAATATTGACTGATAATTATGTGAATTGAGATTTTTATTTTGTATTATTCGCATATTTGTATTAGTCAAATTTTGTATAATATAATAAATTTTGTATGATGTAGTTTTGTATAATATAATTTGTATAACTACTTAAAGTTCAGATGTTTAGTTGTATAAATTCGTTATTTCGAGTTTATTTTAAAAATAACTCAATTATATAATGTACCTGTAAATTTTATAAATTTACCCGCGAATTATATAATTGAGTCAACTTAAATTATAGCTATAATTTGTAAATATGTAAACTATAATTATGAAACATAATTAAATTTAGGGATAATGCACAAGTATCCCTCAACCTATGCTCGAAATCTATGTTGGTTGACTTTTTTTTTAAGGTAGTGTCACGTGGGTTTAAAAGAGGCAGAAAATTATTTATAAAATAAGTTCAGGGGATAATGGATCTTACTATAGTAATATAAGTGTGTTTTTGAGATTTTTGGTATTGATTGAGGACGTACTTATGCATTTTCCCCTAAATTTATTATCATGGCCGGCTATTTGCAAAAATTTCCCTTTTTTATGATTTATTAAAGGAATTTATTCAAAATTCAAAAAAATTATCAGTAAGATTTTTTTTATACTTTCCTTTCATTTATTGAAGTTTTAACTATTTTATAAATGTAGGTTAATATGTTTTGCATAATTAGAGTATATTTAACGTGCTCCCCTGTTGCCCCAGTCTTTTAATTTATAATTATAAAACCCATCACGCACCGTCCATTGACCTCAATGATTGAATCGACGGCTGAGAATTAAGAAGAAAGAACATCAGGAATCTCCACGTGTCACCTATGGACCCCACCTCCCATCTCTTCCACCTTCTATAGTTTTCTCCGCTTATATTCCTCCCCTGCTCCGATCACCCCACCCCCTACAAACCCCTCTGTAATTATTCATACAAAACACTAATTTCAAGAAAATGGGTTGTTTATTGAACTTAAACTAGCTTAAATTTGGTATATTTTTGTTGTTCTATTTATAGAAAACTCTGTTTTTTTTCTTCTTCTTCTTAATAATAATATATAGTATTTGCTTGCTCTGACAATATATATACATATACAAGTGTATTTGTATATGTATTTACAGAGCTAGGGTTTGATTCTTGAGATTTGATTAGCTTAAGAGTGAATAAATAAGCTGATTTTCAGTCACTCAATAAGTTCTGTAAATACATACATGTCAATACTAAGGCGTAGGAAAGGCACAGAAAACAAGAAAACAGAGCCGGAGTATGAAGAATTTAAGGAGAAGAAGAGTTTGAGGGAGTTAAAGGGGAGGGGAAGATGGAGTTGTGTGGATGGTTGTTGTTGGTTTGTTGGTTGTATATGTTGTATATGGTGGTTATTGTTGTTTCTTTACAACGCAATGCCAGCATCTTTTCCACAGTATGTGACGGAGGCGATAACGGGGCCCTTGCCGGATCCACCAGGAGTCAAATTGGCTAAGGAAGGGCTAAGAGCTAAGCATCCCGTGGTATTTGTACCTGGGATTGTCACTGGTGGACTTGAGTTGTGGGAAGGACATCAATGTGCTGAAGGTTTGTTTAGGAAGAGACTGTGGGGTGGTACTTTTGGTGAATTGTACAAAAGGTTAGTTAGTTAGTCTTCTTCTAGTCCATCAAATTTGTACTTTTTTAGAATGTTCTGGAGGTTGATTACTTTTTATCAATGGATTTATTGACTTCAGGGTAATTACGTGAGTAAGGTGTTCTTAGTTATTGATGGAAAATGAATCGAAAGCTGAAAGATTCAACCTTTACTACTTTTTTCCACAATTCCTTGTGACTATAGTTGGCTTTTCTTTTTGTTGGTTTTCACTAAAAAGATCAGTGGATCTTGGGCTGGTGGGATTTATGGCATTTATTCTGCGAATTCGGATTTTGAGTTAGGCAAGTAGGTTTTTTCTAATTTGTTTTTGAAAAAATTTCAAACTCTTGCCATTAAGTAGAGTAGGCTAATGTGGCAGCTAAAGTAAGTGTTGGTGGTAGGGGAGTGACTTATGCTTCCTTTTTTATATATTTCCTCTTGAAATTTGTAGCAAATATTGGATCTTATGTCTGAATCTTCCGCTTCTACACTTTTACTTATGAAGCGCCTTCTCTTTGTCGAAATAAAATGCAGACCTCTTTGCTGGGTGGAACATATGTCACTTGATAATGAAACTGGATTGGATCCTTCTGGTATAAGGATTAGACCTGTCTCTGGGCTTGTAGCAGCTGATTACTTTGCTCCAGGTTATTTTGTTTGGGCTGTTTTAATTGCCAATTTGGCTCGCATTGGATATGAGGAGAAAAACATGTATATGGCTGCCTATGATTGGAGGATCTCATTTCAGAACACTGAGGTACTGTGAACTCTGAAAGAAGCATATGCGCAGTTTTCTTTGTTATTCTGATGTTTTATTATTTACTAGTCTATGTTTCCTTACAGTATCTGACCCCGAGTTACAGAATATGTGTATCTGCACGTCTAGCCACTACCTTTGCAAAATGATAACCCATCATTTTTTCTCTCAAAATCTGTAGGTGCGAGATCAAACCCTAAGCAGAATTAAAAGTAACATAGAACTCATGGTGGCTTCAAGTGGTGGGAAAAAGGTGGTTATAATTCCGCACTCAATGGGTGTTCTATACTTCTTGCATTTCATGAAATGGGTAGAGGCGCCAGCTCCAATGGGTGGAGGAGGTGGATCAGATTGGTGTGCTAAACATTTAAAAGCAGTAATGAACATTGGAGGACCCTTTTTGGGTGTCCCGAAAGCAGTCTCAGGTTTATTCTCAGCTGAAGCCAAGGATATTGCTGCTGCCAGGTTTCTCTCTCTTCAATGAATAGTTTGCTTTCTATTAAAATAACAGTAATTATGTTGCACTCTCTTCTTTTGAAATGTCTAATTGTTGAGATAAAAACTCGGACACAAGTTCCGCCGAACCCAGTAGCTTTTGCTCAACCAGTGTGTTTGCATTAATAAATACTTAATGTGTACAAATAGTAAATATAGAACCCCGTTATTAGCACTTCATCGTACTAAAATCCAAAACTCATAAAGTTGTAATCCTGGCTCCACCTTTCTAAGTGGTTCTTGACGTTCACTGTAAGATAAATTGTCGATAACATACAATTCTTATACTATGATCAAGTTCCCAACACCAAGGTCCTAATAGTTTTGGCTTCTCCTTCTCATTTTTAGAAAAAATAGCTTATCGTTATACTTTAGGGTTCAGAAAGGATCTTAACCTTTACCTGTTGGCTATTTTTTTCTACCTGCAATCAGGTAAACTATACTAATGAATAAAACTCACATGATGTAATTCAAGGGAGCATTTCTGTGCAGACCTCCCAACTGCATTTCACAGTAAAACATGGCCATACTTCATATGTCTATAAAGGGTCTAACAAGGAATATTGTAAAAATCCACTTCAACTTCTCAGTTTCTCTTGTTAGGTTCTTCCTCATGCTACTTACTAGCTTCTTTCTTGATTCTTCTTCGTCTGAATTAATCACTGTTGTGGTCATCTTTTGTCATAGTTGTAGAAGAAGGTGTTATTGGTCTTCACTATGTTTTACTGCCGCGTATATTTTAATGAAGGAATTCGTTGCTTTTTCTATTTCTTTCCTCTGTATAAATGGGGAGGGTGAGAGGGATAGAATAGAAAAGATATGGAAATAAAATTTGTGCTCCAATAAGTACAAGAGCTACTAAACCTATGTTTTAGATAATGTTTTTAGCATTCCTCTCCTCTTTCTCCTTCTTGTTGGTAACCACCTGTGAGGTTGTATATCCCGACTTCGCTCGACTAGAGTAAGATGTACCACATTCTTGCCCGTAGTGTTATGTTAAACCTTTTGTAGCCTTAACAAATCTAATTAATTTCCTCTATGATACTATTCTGAAGCTATGTTCTTTTGATCATCTTATCTGTTCTAGTGAGTGTGTTTGCATCTTTTTCTCAAGGGGAATGTTTAATGCACATGCAAGACAGTGATTGCGTGCACAAGTATGTTTTTTTGCTGTGTGCAAGAGATGTGTTACCACCATTGACTAACCTGGAGTTTCCAGCCTTTCGTTTATCTGCGAGAGGCATTGTTGAGCTAAAGTAGAAATTGCTCCTTCTGCAGGTCTATGGCCCCAAGTTTCTTAGAAAATGAAATGTTCAACTTTCAAACTTTACAGCATGTAATGCGAATGACTCGTACATGGGATTCAACAATGTCAATGATACCTAAAGGTGGGGACACAATCTGGGGTGGACTGGATTGGTCCCCTGAAGAAGGCCATGAATGTAATGAAAAGAAGCCAAAGAATAATAGCACCCAGACATCAGAGAGTGACAGGACCAGAAAGTCGGCTAATGCTACTCGTGTGAAGTATGGAAGATTAATATCATTTGGGAAGCATGTAGCTAATTTGCACTCATCAGAGATTGAGAGGATTGACTTCAGAGTAATGTTCTTACTTTAATTTTGGATTTTAACTAACTACTATCTCTAGGGTAAAAACTTACTTGAACGTTCACGTTCCTAAATAACATTATGACCCATTAACAAAAGTGTGGAAAGATGCTTAGACCTAAATCCTGACATGCCGACCCAAAAAAAAAGGTACCAACAGGCTGTCACAAATTTGTTAAATATACAAATAATCTTTTTTGCATCAGCTTCCCCAATGAATATGCATCCTTTGCTCTACTTTCTAATGTAGAGGATGGGAAAGGCCTGGTGAGATGAGACACAACTGGAATAAGAAGAGAACATTTTCTCTTTCATACAAGTTTGAAGTTGGATGTAATACCTTATCCCCCCTCAAAAAAAAAAAAAAAAAGAAGTTGGAATTCCTCTAATCCTAAGTAAAACTTTCAAGTATCTCTGAGTTCTTTCAAGTTAATGTGGAATTTCTGTATCGAGTTCCATTGTTTTATATGAATCCTCTCCTGCAGACTGGTGTGTTCTGCATCTCTGCACATTTCTAAGAAATAAACACGTGAACTTTTTTTACTATTGCCTATTCAGAGTCTTTTTCTTCTTTGACGTGTCCAATATCCACTAAAGCTCAAAATCTCCCCTAATTAATGATCAAGTAGCCAAAGCAGCAATAGAACAGCTATTACTATGGGCTAATGAATGCCTCGAGTATTCTTGCATCAGTCTTATAAATGATTGCATGGATCATTTTTCACTCCTTTGATAAGGTCGTACAATTTCCAATCCAAAGGGAAAAATCAGACAAAGAAGTCAATAGCTCTTTACAATGTGTAAAAGCAGATTTTAAAGTACTACCAATGGTTAGTTATCAAATTGATGCCATATTTTTGTAATTTGAGATCCATTGACTAGTGGAGTTCATTTCTGAAGTCTATGAGTTATCAGATAAGACATTTGGGGTAGTGCATTTTTTCTTTTTCTTATTAGGACATTTCCTAGTAGTCTCTCACTGGTGGATGACATATTGTTGTGCTTGGTGCTGCTATACGGAGATCAGGATAGTCATTTGTCTTTCAGAGTGAAATTGTTGATTTGATCAGCTTTCAGAAAACATAAGCAATTAAACCAGTCATTAGAGTAACTTACATGTTAAGTGCACTGCTATCTTTCACAAGGAAAAACTCTCTGCTGTCACTGTGTCCAAATAAGGGGAAAATGCAGAAATTATTTGGCAAATCCTGTTGCAGATTAAAGTGGTTTTAATACATAATGCATCCTGAACCTGAAGAGGCTAGAATTGCACATGGTATTGCAAATTACCATGAATTAACAGTTATTCCAATACTAACATTAAAAGGAAACATTATTCCAATAGTCCATCCCGTTTTGAGGTACTCTACTATCTCCAAATCAGTTTCTCATGTTTCAATATACGCTTAATGACTTATACTAGTTTGTTTGTGTCTACTACTGCTTGCTTAAACTTCCACATGGATAGGTTATCTGAAACAACTCCAGATGTTGCATTTTTACTTTCTGGTTTTAGTTCTAACTTGCCCTCTCCATTGTTCGGTCCTCCCCAGGATGCTCTTAAAGGTAAAAGTCATGCCAATTCCACTTGCCGTGATGTGTGGACTGAGTACCATGATATGGGTATTGGAGGTGTCAAAGCTGTTGCAGATTACAAAGTTTACACAGCTGGATCTGTTTTGGATCTTCTTCATTTTGTTGCACCAAAGTTGATGAAGCGTGGTAGTGCTCATTTTTCATATGGAATTGCTGATGATCTGGATGACAAAAAATACGAACACTACAAATATTGGTCAAATCCCCTGGAAACAAAGTAAGCTTCTATAGTTCTATAGAAGTATTCTTGATCTTTGTCATGCTCTTAGGGCAGCTCCTCTCAGTCATCTTCAATTCATCAATGTTTTGTTGTACAACATGGAAATTAAAGGTGAAATTTCAGGGTTCTAGGGAGTGCAAACATATTTTTTTTCTTGGAAGTATTGGTCCATCTTGTTAACATTCTCTATTAGTTTCAATCCCAAAGTTCCAGTTTGGCAGTTACTGTTCACTTCTTCCTTTGTCTGTAATTGTTCATAGAAGAAACTGCAAAATATGATCCTCCTTGACCTTGTTCATTATGTGTTACAGCAATCTATTTTGGCATATTTATAGCAAGTTTTCACTGTGATGTTCCATTTACAGATTGCCCAATGCACCAGGGATGGAAATCTTCTCAATGTATGGAGTTGGAATCCCAACTGAAAGAGCCTATGTATACAAACTAAGTCCTGGTGGAGATTGCTATATTCCTTTCCAGATAGATACTTCGGCTGAGGGTGGAAGTGAAAGTCCTTGCTTGAAAGGCGGTGTCTTTCATATAGATGGAGATGAGACTGTACCTATTCTAAGTGCAGGTTACATGTGTGTGAAAGGGTGGAGAGGAAAGACCCGATTTAATCCATCAGGCATCCGTACATTTATAAGAGAGTACAATCACGCCCCTCCAGCTAATCTTTTAGAGGGAAGGGGAACGCAAAGTGGTGCACACGTTGATATAATGGGAAATTTTGCACTTATTGAAGATATCATTAGAGTAGCTGCTGGGGCTACTGGAGAAGACCTGGGAGGAGATCAATTATACTCGGGTATTTTCAAGTGGTCTGAAAGGATTAAACTGAAGCTTTAGATTTCAAATGGTGAGATTTACGCCATTTCTTTCTTACAAGCTTTAGATTGGTGCTATATGTTTCTTAGATAGCTGCTTTTGTATCTGCAGAATTTCATGGGTGCAATCAATTGGTTTGAGGAACTGGTGGTGCTCTACTATACGTCTTGCTTCTCGTCTCCTGGCTGAAACATCTGCTGTATACTTGAAACAATAATACTCTGGGAAACCTGAAGCTGCAAATGTCGCAGGAAGCATGGATGTATAGGTAAATTTTGGACATAACATTGATTTTTTGCCTGTAATTATATGATCCTTGATAGCATAGTGTAGTCTGTAGACCTAATATTGGAGCACAAGTACTGCATTTATATGTTCAATTATTACACAGCACACAAGGAGGGACAAGTGTATTTCTATCGTGGGTTATTTGAAATTTATAAGTAAATATTTACTCATAGGTTTTGTTTTGTCCATCTTCAAAAATATTTAGAACAATTGCAGACAAACGCTAGCTCATTATGTTCAAATCACTCGTTAAATGCCTAACTCAACCAATTCTTTTACTAATTGATTTAGAAGGAAAAAAATGTGACAAAATGGGAATTTAGATTGTTCTTATTTGTCTGTTGCGCCTAAAATGGTTATTGCTTGTGTAATGATTCATTATGGTTGGGCTCTAGGTTCTCGGACCCAAACAATTGACAAATTTAAAATGAAATCGATATGAATCTTAATTAATTAAATTTTGAAAATACAGGTATCGGATACTATATGTTGGCATTAAAATTATACTGCCTGAATTGAAAAAGGAAGGGGGAAAATGAATTTTTAAATATACGAGTAGAATCTTATAATATTAGTCCGAACTTTATATATAAATATTAGAATATCTATTAAGTATACATGAAATTAAATTGTAAATCTGATCACCAACCGTTGGTCTTTATCTTCAATTTCAAATTATAAAGGTTTTTTTTTTTTGGTTGTAATGATGTGGAATTCTTTGGGAAAAGAAGTGGTGGCCTTTTAAAAGAAAACATGAGTTGTTTGCTTTTTACAACATTCCAGATTTTTTTAGCAAAAAGTGATATAATAGTACTACTCTTATTTTACTGGCTAAGGGCGGAGCTATAACCACTTCAATACACTTTGTGGAAAATTTATATATATATATATATATATATATATATATATATATATATATATGTCAAATTCTACGTTTAAAATATATATAGAAAGTTGAATATTTTTGACAAAAATTGATGCAGTGATAATAGATATTCATTTGAATTAAGAAAGTGTTAACTTCAAATCTCAAATAGTGCAATGTTTTTCCACACGCCATTATCTGACATTACTTGAGTAAAAAATAAGTTATTTCGTAATTTTATTTTAAGTAGATATGAGAGTTTATTTTAAAATTAAAATAATTATTCTTTGTTCCTTGTACCAAACAAATTCTAAGAATATGAATACTTTTTTGGTTTACGTACACTAATTTAAAAGCGATGAATAAAATGATTATTTAAGTATATCATTCTTTGAAATAGTAAAAGTGAATATCTACTTTTAGTATGTAAATAAAACATTAATTAAAAAAAATTATACTATCATAATAATGATAAAGATTTTTTTCATTTGATAATAACAATCCTACATGAATTCAGGGGCGAATTATTAAGGTCATTAGGGGTGTCATGCCATTCATGAGCGTCGACGAAAACTCTATTTATATATAAATATTTATACACAACATATGTATACATAATATAGTGAACAAAAGTATTCTTTGCCCAGTGATAAGCCCTCTACTTAGAGCCTGTTTGGCTCAGCTTAAAAGCTGGTCAAACTGACTTAAAAGCTGGTTTTTGACTTATTTAGTTGTTTGGCAATACTCAAAACAGCTTATTTTAAGCTAAAAAAAACTTATTTTAAGCCAAAAGTTAAAAGCTGGGGTAGGGGTGCTTTTTTTTTTTAAGCTTATAAGTTGTTTTAAGTTGACCACATTTTTATCTTTTTGTGCTTACTATTTTTGTACAATCTCCAAATTACCCATATAACCCTAACATTTTTTTCTTCCATTTTTTCCTTTTCACGTTTGACATAACAACTTCAGCACTTTTATCCAAACGCATAACTGCTTATTTTAAAAATAAGTTTCAGCACTTTTAAAAGTACTTTTTTAAAGCTGCTTTTATTAAGCCCATCCAAGCGGGCCCTTAGAGCCTGTTTGGCTCAGCTTAAAAGCTGATCAAACTGACTTAAAAGCTGGTTTTTGACTTATTTAACTGTTTGGCAATACTCAAAAAAAAACTTATTTTAAGCCAAAAGTTAAAAGTTGGGGTAGGGGTGCTTTTTTTTTTTGCTTATAAGCTGTTTTAAGTTGACCACATTTTTATGTTTTTTCCCTTAATATTTTTATACAATCTCCAAATTATCCATATAACCTAACATCTCTTTCTTCTATTTTTCCCTTTTCACGTTTGGCATAACAACTTCAGCACTTTTATCCAAACGCATAACTGCTTATTTTAAAAATAAGTTTCAGCACTTTCAAAAGTACTTTTTTAAAGCTGCTTTTATTAAGCCCATCCAAACGGGCCCTTAATGACTCTTAGTTCGCGGGATCAATTCTAGCTAGCAGCAAGCAACCTTTTTCTTGTTTTAATTTTTCCTTTTTAGTGCAGGCAACGTTTCTATTTGAAAACTACAAGGCACATTTTCTTATAATTTTTCTTTTTACTTATTTTAACTTAGTGTTAATCAATAATTGTCTTTAACTAATTTAATTTAATTCTTTGATTTTTCTATTATATGATTAAATATTTAAAAAAATATTCTCTTCACCGTTGAAATCCTAACCCTTCCTTTAAACTTTTGAACAACAAAAATTTATCATTAGTTAAAACTTCAACCTTTCGCCCATCGCCCAATCCTGCTCTCTCATCTAGCCACAAGAAGAATAATTCATTTAATCGATCAATCTACTGAGCATTAGAGATGAATCCAAAATTTGAAGATTTTGATGCACCAATACTATCTTAATTTAGGTAGTTAACAAAACTTTTACTATAATTAACTAACAATGTAGTATTTGATTGGTAAGTAACGGCTCAAATATAATTTATAAGCTAATCTTAAAATAAATATAACGAAATAAAATTGAATTATATTCTCACGAGTGGTTCTTCTGGCTTGTAGCAACTAAACAAGGGCACCCCTACGCTTCTTATGGGGGCACTGTTGATTATATCCTATCTTATGTCAATTTCTTACGATATTTTATACATATATATATATACGTGATTTTTTTTTGAATTTAACTGATGCATGTGCGCCTTTATCAAATCATGTGGGTCCGCCTCTGCTTGGCACCCAGTGACTCTAAATCCTAGATCCGCCTCTATTAACATGATTACCATAACAAGCAAAAATAAATACATCTAAGTAAACCTAAATCTATAACGAAATTATATTTATATTTAGTAACAATTTAGAACATGTTTGGATGTGCTTAAAAGCTAGTCAACCTAACTTAAAAGCCAGTTTTTGACTTATTAGAGTGTTTAGCAAATATGAAAATAACTTATTTTAAGCCAAAAGCTAAAAGCTAGGTGAGAGGTGTTTTTTTTTCCAACTTAAAGTATGTTGACAGTGTATATTACCTTTTTATCCTTAATTCTATTTTTTTTTATTTATTTTTTTTTATTATTATATTATTATTATTTATTACTATTATTATTTTATTTTATTATTATTATTACTATAATTATGAGTATTATTAATATTTTATTATTTATCATTATTAATATTATTATTACTTATTTTATTATTTTTTGTTATTATTATATATTACTATTACTATTAATAATAATATATTTTATTATTATTATTATTATTATATTATTATTATATATTATTATTATTATTATTATATCATTATTATAACTATTATTATTATTATTGTTATTATATATTATTATCATACATTATTATTATTAACATTTTATTTATTATTATTATTATTTATTTTATTACTATTAGTTATTATTATTATATATTATTATTATTATTTATAAATAATTTGTGATGATAAAGAAAATGTGAATGATAGCAAAATGTAATTATTTATGGATGCATAATATTAATTAATTTTGTTTTATTTTATAAGTATAAAAATCTTAAATTAATCAATTTTTATCATGGTAACAATTTTTAAGAGCATTTTAGATATTTTGATTAAAAAAAGTGTTTACCAGCACTTATTTGCCAAACACATTAACAATTTTTTTTTAACTTCAACACTTTTATCCAAATACATAACTATTTGTTTTAAAAATAAATTTCAACACTTTCAAATGAAAGTATTTTTTAGAAACTATTTTTATTAAGCCCATTCAAACGGGTTCTTAATTTAGAAATATTTAATTAAGTCTTAATGAAATAAAATATTGAAAATAAATAAAATGGTAGAAGCAGGAAAGTAACGCCGTGGTGGGATCGGTGGTGAAACAAAAAGGCATATCAGTGTAGACATGAGGAGTTAACAACCATTACACAAGAATTTCACTCATTTTCCTCCTCCAATTGCTACTGTCAATTCAAAAAAGCTTAGCTTGAGGGAACAGAAATGGTGTCGTACATGAGCTTGTTGCTGTACGGAGTGGGAGGAATAGTGGTCGCCGGGATGGCAATACTGGTCGCCTTTCAGGAAAAACTTGTATATGTTCCCGTCTTACCTGGACTCACTAAGGCATATCCAATTACTCCCGCTCGACTTCGACTCCTTTACGAAGATGTTTGGCTCAGATCTTCAGACGGTGTTCGTCTTCATGCTTGGTTCATCAAACTCTTCCCTGACTGCAGAGGTCTCTCTTAAACTGCCTTTTCTTATGTTTTATCTACTCTAATTACACCAGATGGCCGTAATTTGTTTTCGATTTGTCATTTTCATCCATATTTTTTCAAGTTACTAGTGAACTTGTGGATGATTTTTGACCTAATTTCACTTGTACAACCTTTTTAGTTTATGTTTTACCTGAATTGTGCGAAAGAATGGATTAATGTTTATAGAAATAAGAGTTACTTTTTGAACGGAATAAGATTGGTTGATGCGGTTTTCTGATTTGTTCCTCAAATTTACTTGATAAATGATTCTTTGAGTAATTTATTTGTGCAAATGAGCTATGTTGTTCATGGAAAATGATTAATTCCTGGATCCCAAGAGTTTAGAATTAGTTGGTACCTATGTCTGCCAATAGTTTCGACAAAATCTAGTGGGGGCAAACTGTTAGAATGCTGCTACAGATAGATGCACATCAACATCTATCAGCGGAGATTAAAAATCCTGATTGTAAATTAGTGTATATGATAGTGGTTATTATGTTGCCAAGGCAAGAAGTATGGATGTGGTGGCAGGGTTGCTAGTTAACCATCTATCAGAGCAAGAATTGAAGTCAAATGCAAT